TTTTTAGTATGTAATATTCAAACTGAATTTCTATTTTCAAGTATGAGATATGCAACCAAGACTGATTACATTATAAACAACATAATAATACAGAACCGTAAATATTTTTTTATCATAAACAGTTGCAGCACAACTGGTGTACAACTGCACCAAACAAAAAGACACCTTCCCCGCAACAGCACTATTTAGGTATAAAAACTGCAGCTGCCCAAACTAACCTTGAGGGTTCGTTTGGCGCAACAGTGGAGCGGCACACTACCGCAAATTTCGTCACTTATTTGTTGTGGCGCGCACACGGTTTATTAAACGTGCCCGCGAAGCCACACCGAGATATGAAGCTAGATTATTCCACGTTATATGATAATTTTTCCATTCTTGCCCTCCGTCCTGCTCGCCCTTGTCACGTAAGCAATCTGACTAGGGTTTTTTATCCACACCTCTTCGCTCGCCAACACATCTAGAAAGGGTTTTTTGCTGGCGTTTGTTTCCTTCTTTCTCTGCTATCCTCTCCCCCTCAGCTCTTCTTCGTGGATTTGCTTTGAGTCGTATGATTTGCACACAAATTTTTTTTGGAATTTCACATAGAACCGGAGACTTGCTTTTTTTCTGTTTTTTCAATGTCTACAACCCCATTTTTACATACAAAACACTGTATGCTTTGTGGTTTGTTTGATAGTTTTGTTGTCTTTAGTTGATGCATGTATTTCGCCAATTCCTACGTTGGTTTTAATTTTTGGAAATGATTACATACCTATCAAACAAGTCTTGGTTTTGAAATTTTTGTTTCATTCTTCCTAGGTTGATTTATGATATGTGAATGCGAATTTGAGAAATTGTTGGAGCAATATATGAACAGTGTTTTTCAGCTGGCAATTAGTTGATTAACATGGATTGAGATTTCATCATAATTTTTTATATTCGAGTGAAAATAATGAGAAAATAATAATAGCAAGGTTTATAGTGTGTACATTATAAAAATGGATAGAGAATCAAACTGATTTTATCAGGAATGTTGTGGGTTCTCCTTTTCAAATGGGAATTTATATTTTTATTTCATTTTGATGGTTTTGATTGCTCCTTTTTTTGTTGGTAATTTAAAATTTACAAGTTCGACACACAATTGTTATGTGTTTACATTCATGATAGTTGAATCCATATTTAGCTATTTGAGGGATGATGGTAATCTTAATCGTGTGTATTTGACAGCTTCACCATGGTTTCTCTATGTTGCTTACGTTGTAATCATGCTCACCTCAATTTGATTATGCGGATTTGAGTGTTGTGTGCATAAATATTAAAGTTATTGAGTGAGATATATAAATTCCATAGAATTGTGTGTTGTGCATGTAAAGGAGCCTTGTTGGATGATTGGATTTTGTGGGGGTTACTGTATGCTACTTGGGATGAAATTTTTCTAAAAGAATTTTTAAGAAAAAAGAGGTTCGGATGATTTGATTATTTGGGGAAAAAATAATGCCTAGATCACATGTAAAAAAGAAATTTCAGGATATTTACAAGATACCTTAGGATTATTTTGTAAGTTCAGAGAAATTTACAGATGTAACACCCAATTCTCATGTGTTTATATTCATGATAGCTATTTGCATTTATATGAGAGTTTTTGTTCATTTGGATGAGTTATTGGAACAGCGATATTTGGTGTGGGGATAGTGTGAGGGTGCTATGATGATTGGTGTGGGGGTGTTATGGGACCAATGGTGTTTGGTGTGGGGATAGTGTGGGGGCAGTGATGATTGGTGTGGGGTTTGTGTGGGGGCAGTGTTGTTTGGTGTGGGGGAATATTGTGGGGACAGTAGTGTTTGGTGTGTGCATATTGTGGGGGCAGTGGCGATTGGTGTGGTGGTGGGGGTGGTGGGGTGACAATAGTGTTTGTTGTGGGATGGTTATGGGGAAGTGGTAAAATACTATAATTTTATTTTTGCTTAATTTGTGCTAATTATTTTTTATGTCAAATATTTATGTTTAAATTTTTCTATGGAAGTAACGCAATTGTTAAGACAAAAGAACTCGGTTTATCAGCTATATGGGATAAAGAAGCCAAACTAATTATTTGCGCCCTCTGCCTTAAAGAGATGGAACTGGGAAATAGGCTCACAAACAATTTTAACAAGAAAGGTGACAAAATATAATGAAAAGATTCAAGAAAAATACGGGAAGAGAGTACGATATGATACAACCAAAAAACAAGTTGAATCAATTTATAAAGAACATAAAAATTTGGAAGGAATAAAAATGAGGATGCACAAGCTTGGGATGCGATCCAATCAAGCGGACAATTGATGTTTCGGAAGAATGATGAACTGAAAGATTAGAGATGATAATAGATCAAACCTACATATGATGACTTTTTTTTCCTAAATTGTATGAACATATACATGTCCCTTTATATTACAGGTAGTGTCAGTGGTCAAAAAATTCAAATTCAGTGGCATTGACCCTAAGCTGGATGCAAAGTTGGACCATATGTTTGGTGGGGTTGTGGCAACAGGGAATAATGCTTGGACCCCTAGTGAGCGAGGGTTTGCAAGCATACCTGAGAACCTAGATGCCGAACAAACAATTGACTCCAATGAAGACCCTAGCCCAACCAAAGATGAAGTAGAGTCCGCTAGCAGAACAAAGCGTCCAAGGGTGGAGAAAAATAAAAAAAAGAACTTTCATTAGAATCCAAATATCACAACGGGTGGTTTCATGCAGTAATGAGCCTGGGACATCATAAGCGACCTTCGTCCAACAAGTTATCCGAGTTCTGGAAGCAACTCCAGAAATTTATGAATTGTATTTGTTTTGAATGAAGCTGTTAGAGGACTCGACCTGTGAAGAGTTCTTCATGATGATGACCCCTGACTGTAAGATCAATTATTTATGTTATTTTTATGACTACAAGGACACTTGTTATCTTTGAACTATTTGTATTTATTTTCCAATAGATTTATCAGGCTTCTGCTTTGAATGTTTTTTTTTCCTTGGAACAATGCTAATGCTACTTTGGATTTTTGTTTTTTCATCGTGCACCTTATAATTTGTTATTCAAAATTCATTTAAGGTGTTGTTTAGCTATAGAATGTTGTCATCATATTTAATTTGGAGATGCTCATGTCTTACCTAAACAGAGCACTTGTTTAACATGGATTCACAAAGAGAGACATAGAAGGAGAATTGTGGTTGTGGTATGTTTGATGTGCGGGTACTACAACACATACGTAGATCAGTCTTCCTGCAGGACATCATCTTATATTGGTGATAAATGAGTTGGGGGCTACTTGAAAAACATCCAGCAAGATTCAGCATCTTTCGTAAAAGACAGAACGTATTTATGTAAGATTCAGCAATATGTTTTGTAGTATTTTTATTTATTTCTACTTTATTTACGATGGATGGTGAAAACCTTTATTTTTGTTGCATCGATGTTCTGCCAAATTATTTAAATTTTGAATCTCAGTTTTATTTCTTGCTCATTTGCATGTATTATTGCTCACTTGAATGACCGAAGAGGCGACCATGTTTATAGCATGATATATAAATATTTATTGCATATTTATTTTGATTTTTTAGAGGTCAGTGATGAGATGTTAAACCTTAAGGGTTCTTCTGGATAATTTATTTTTCGCTATTGGTTCTTGTCACATGTGAAATACTAATAAAAGCAATCGATTTCCTCTCGTTTTTTCAGTGTCATGGTTTTTTGAGACTCTTATAGATGGTCTTTTGTTTGTTGATATGCATATATGACACATATGAGCTCGGTATAACGTGTTTTGAAGGCACCGATAACCCTTTTTTTTTTGTCTTTTGTAAGTGACAGATTCATTAGTTTTTGTTATGTTTTCTGAGACCTCAGGATTTAGTAAAACTTGCATTACTTAATTGTAATTTTTTTCACTAATATCACATCTAAGGATTTTTAATTTGTTGTGTTAAACCTTCAAAATAAATGAGTTTAATGACTTCAAGTATCTCCAGAGGATTGCACAGCAACTGCGAACTATCATGCACCTTGCTTGCTTTGCGACAGTTACATAGCTACAAGAGATGGTTTTACAGTTATTCGGAAAAAAGACAACAAAATTGTGACTTCTTTATAAGGGCAAATGAGTTGAAGGAATCCGCAGCTAACAGTGATCGGGCGTCGCAAGTTTTCCTGGAGAGCGGCTTGTCTCGTGACTTACACTAGCTGCATTTTAACAAAAATATTATCAACTTATTGATTGTTATTTTAGTAATTCTTTTTTTAATTTTGATAACCATGTTACTCACTATTTAGTGAAATATCTATTTTTATTTTATAACAATCGAACTGAATATTTGTTTTCTGTATGAGATGAGCTAGTATGAATAATTCTGCTACAAACAACATTACAATACAGGAGCACGATGATCATTTGTCCAGAAACAGCTACAGCCCAACTATTTTCAAACTACAAAAAATAAACAGACAGCCAGCTTCTGCGCAGCAACTTCCTATCACAGTTATTGCGCAGCAGCATGTAGCTAACCCAAACAGACCTTTAGTATGCAAATTGTAGCAGTCCCATTGCACTTCATCATTATTTTTCCTTCCAAGGGAATATCTTCAATATATCTTGGACAAATAGAGCTCTAATCACCTACTCAATAACAACAGCTTATCTTATGGCATTAATATCTTCAAAAATTCTTGAACAAACAGAAAATAAGGTGGAAAAGTAGTAATGTTCTACAAAGAGCGGTATTAATGAATCACAGGTGTAAGTAGAAGGGCAGTTTGAAGGTTTTTAGATGCATATGAAAATTAGAACGTAGAGCTAAAAGTGCCATAAGCACAAACCAAGGGAAAGTACTCAGTTAAAGTTTCTTCAAAATTATGTCTATAAACTGAACCTTATTGACAAAATAGTAGACTCTAGTTTCAGTAATGCAAGGATTGCCATCCAAAACATTTGACCAGTACAAAAGCAGGCAAGGATATTTCCAGAAGGGGCATGATAGAGCAAGGTTACCGAAGACGTATGAATACTCGCTGTTGAGAACATCGTTGCAGCCACCTCCACCAATAGCGCAGAAAGCTTCCGAGTTAGAAAGCTTAAGATAGGTCAGGTACGCCGTCTCGAGGAACCCTACAGCTCCGAGAGCTGCGCACCAACTGGATTTAGACATACCTAGGGAAAATGACTTGTCCGAGGTTTCGGAATCGGAATTCAGCTTTGGAGAAGGACCGCACCAACACCTTAAGGAAACCAACAATGTCCTCTGCTGTAGCCACTGATGAATGAGAGATTGAAGAATCTCAGAGACAGAGAACTGATGTGAGAGATTACAGGGTTACCTTAAAGCGTAGTGGAGACGCAAGCGGACAGCTAATAGAAGGGAGGAAAGGAGGACGAGATATGGCTAGGGCGGAGGAGATGCCCATCCTGCCGACGAACTTAAGTGCCGCCGCTCCCGCCGCTACCCTGGAAACTGGAGGTCCGCTCGCTATTGACTGAGAACTTCACTGGTGTCTTGGAGTCATTCGGAGACGTATTTCCCGTCGTCGAAATTTCATCAATTTTATTTTTTGAAAGAAAATACAATTTGTTTTAGGTGGAGATCAGACGGCGCATATAAAATAATTTTTCCTTAGAGTTTACGGCTTTTTGAACTAACACACTACCAGATAGCATTTAGGTATATTTTGATTAATTTTAAGAGCGATAAAAAAATGTGAAGCTTTTATTTGATTTATACACTAAGTTAACCAGCAGAATATTTTTGTGTTGGATACATGAACGAGTCTATCACGAACAAAGATTTGTTCTTTCATATTCGCCTAATTTTGGCTCGAAATACTACTCAACAATATATATATATATATAATGATGAATAGTATTTTTAAAAATTTATTTAGCTAGAAGACTATAAAGTCTTACAATCATTTAAAATTATTAAGAAAATAAAATAAAAATATATTAAATTTTATTTAAATAATGTTTTAATATAAATAATAAGAATTAAATCTTGCCCTAACCCTTAATAACCTACGACTGTGTGATTGGGTTGTCAAAACGATTTTTTGTTCGAGAATAGCTCGTGCTCGGTTCACTAAGCAAATGAGTCGAATATGAACACATTTTTTTGTGTTCAAAATATAAACAAGTCAAACACAAACATTGATATTTTTAACGAGTCGAGCACGAGCTAAACTTGGGCTCGCCTGTGTTCGGCTCGTTTACATTCCTAATCTCCAACTGTTCGAAAATGTTGCTCTACAACAACTCTACCAGAAAATTGTGTCTTTGTATTATAAAGTTGTGATATAGTTTTTATGAAGAAAAGATATTTTTACCATTGTATTCTTGTTGCAAGATAATCATTCTTAGCTTAATAACTCATGCATGAAAATAGAAATTACATTCTGAATTCTCAAAAATCATAAATTCAAATATTGCATTTAGAAGCGACAGCTCATTTAGTAGTGAGTAACATAACAATCAAAACCAAAATATAAATTTTAAAATAATAATTAAAATTATCAAAATATTAATTTTAAAATGCAGATGATTAATCTTATTTTAGATACTCAAGTGTCCGCGACGAGAGCGACTTGCACATCAAGACTACCGGTGCATGATTTCTCCAACAAGAATTACGACACCTCTCTTCCTATGACACCACTTTGGACTGCTGTAGGTATTTTCTCAAGTCATCGAGCCTTGCATACTCTTTCACCTCCTACGACACCGCTTCGGACTGTCGTAGTTATTTTCTTGAGTCACTGCTACTTTTTCACCACTTATGTCACCGTTTTGAACTACCGCAGGTATTTTCATGAGTCACTACTCCTCGCACACATTTTCATCTCCCACGACATAGCTTCAGACAACTGTATGTACTTTCTTGATTTCTCAAGTCACTGCTCCTCGCACACTCCCTTATGATAGTCTCGTGCATTTCTCTAGTCACTGCTCCTCGAATACTCTTTCACTTCCTATGACACTACTTTAAATTGTCGTAGGTACTTTCTCGAGTCAATGTTTTTGCAATCTTTCACCTCCTATGGCATCGTTTCGGACTATCGTAGGTACTTTCTCGAGTCACTACTTCTCGCACTCACTTCCGACACTCATGTGCCTTTTCTCGAGTCACTGCTCCTCACACACTCACCCTGAGCACTCATGTGTCCTCTTCAAGGATGGCTTGCATATCAATCCTACCTGGTGTGTGATTCTCCCTAACAAGAAGAACAACATCTCACTTCTGTTGTGTGTCATGCATGCATATCATCGCACTGTCAGCGCATTTGTCATTAGTATATACCATTGTATTCTTATGGAAAATGTTTACCATCTCATGATTGCTACTGCCTCAAAAGAATGGTCACAACACACCAGATCATGTTGCATTTGCATTTGCATTCCCAAACGCCTTGACAATGAAGCTATAGCTCGTTAGCTGCCCCTCCTCCCGCTTGACGTGATCTATTTTACTTTGCATGTTGTAACTTGTACCAACCTCTCTATTTTGTAAGTCAAGTCATTTTTTTTATTTTACCACATACTTTTTAGAGTTCTTAGGTAGAGTTTGTATTAAAAATAAGGTACATGCATGAATTCCAAGGTGTCTGGCGGGCAGAACCATGTGACGGGGAAAAGAGCTACAAGCACATGTCCTGTACCTTAATTCTAAATCTCTTTGAGGTATAAAATTAGACCAAACATGTATATTCGATGTCTAGCCACTTTTTTATGTTTTTGAGATATGTTGTCAATCCAGCGACACTCGACTTTTTTTTCTTTCATATCTGGCTTGTTTTACTTTTCTGCAGCGTGCTCGACTTGGTGTTGCCCTTTTTCACTTGTGTTTTGTCTGAGAATCACAGTTTATAACTTAGGCTCTCTAAGGTCCTAATATTCTAAATGTTTTCTACAAAATTTTAATAATAAAATATTGAGATTAATTAAAATTTAGGGTTAAAATATCTCAAAATTTTAAAATCTGCACTTTACTTTTCTACATGTCCTTCAAACTAGATTTTAAATGGGTTGCTTGCATGGCTATATACCCCGTCATATTAATAAGGCCTCCATATTAGGATTGATTAGCTCACTGCATCATTGCATGTCTTGAGAAGAAGTCCTTGTGCTTCTCCAACCCAACTAGCTTAACATAGATTTCTACTTTGGTGTTTGTCTAACATGCTTAGCGTGTTAGAGGCTTCTCCAATCCAAACAGTGAGCAAGTCTTTGTGTGAGTGTTTTCATCTTTGTAGCTAGTCCTCTCTTTTCTCTTCTCTTTAGTAGCTTTCTTGCCACTTTGGCAGGTATAAGTCCTACCTCTACTCTCCTTTCCTACATAGAGTCATAGGATTTAGAGTTTCATTCTCTAAGCCTTAAGACTATCGAGATTCCTTGGAAGATGCAACTCATAGATTGCTGATAAGGAATCTCAGGTTATATTGGGTTTGCTACCTTTACGACCAGGTAGACTTGGGGACCTAATAGCTTGGGATGACGAATTTGTGATATCTTAACTCGACTATCTTTACCCAATTAGGATTACTCTACCCTTCCATTATTTTCCCCCTTTGAGCCCTGTCGCTCCGTTTGATGCTTCATCAATGTCGTCTCATAGGCACTGATTGTGGATAAGTCACCTCCCATTTGAGATACGGTGATTCACTCTCTAGCCCAGTTAGGTCTTGGAAGTATAGTGTGTACCCTATGAGTTAACCTAATTATTTCATAAGTCTCAGTTGTCGATGACCCGCTACCCATTTGGGATGTGAGAGACTCACTTTCTGCCCTATGACTTAGCGAGAGCTTTAAAAGTGTTGTCATGCTCTTGTGGAATAATCTTCCTTGTGACACTGTCTCAATAGACATCGCTTAAATGTAAGCGTGATTATTTTAATCGAAAGTATTCTTGATCATCACTCAAAATGTAATTAATCAAAGGGGTACATCCCTTTGAGAGTTTCTCTTGACCCCATAACAAGCACACACACTTCACTCTCTGGTTGTGGGTGCTTTCATAGTGTCTTCTTCGTGGAAATTTTTCCAAGGCATTTTTAATTCTATCTCTTTTTGGATGCACGCTTTTGGGCTATGACGTAAAATTTACAGTATGAAAGTTTTATATATTCTTTCGCTTGTTTGTCTACGTTCGTGGTATATTCCTTATTTTCCATATTCCTCTCTTCTCGAAATCATCCATATGATCTAGAAGAGAGATTTATTCAGAAAAGGGAGTTATATGATGATAGAAAAGCTGAAAACTCCTAAAAAAGAGAAAACAAATGAAAATAATTATTTATAGATTTTGAGAGTGAAAATCCTTTTAAAATAATAAATAACTTTAGAACACATGCATGTAATATTTGGAGATAATTTGATTTTTAAAGTAAAATCATAATTTTTTTTATTATAGTTTAAGTGATTGATTTAGGTTTATTTTAACTTTGATTGTATAACTTTTGATGTTATTGGGTTGATCTCATTGAGACATTTTGTGTGACTATAAATTAAATGAAATTGATATTTGGAATATTCTAAATTTTGACTCTCAAAGTTATGTAATAAATTCTTGTTTGATTAAGTAAATATTTTATAATATTCTAAAATAAAAGTATAATTAAACTTGATACATCACCAAAAAAAAACATATTACTCAAAGCAATTTGTCAAGGCAAATCCAATGAACCCAACATCTCATAATTCCAACATCATTAAGACACTTAATACTAAGAAAAACTCAAGTAATCTTGGAGATTACTTTAATTCATCTGATGAGTGGATAAGATTGAAGTAATATTTATGAAGAGTTTCACTCTCAATATATAATAATAGACTCCCACTCTCCTCATAAGGACAATTCTAGTTTTAGGAAAAATACTCAAGAGTGCTTTCAATCCTTAAGAGTTCTTGAGCTCCACATATCAATCACTGCTTAATCTTTATTGCCCCGAATGACTGCCACCATCATTAGCTCGATCGAACTTGATTGTAACTAACATCATACCACCATTGTTGGTCATCACCATTAGTGTTGAACTTCCACACATGATACAACTACCCTAGATAAAATGTTGGCACTTAATTACCCTTAATATTATTAGACCACTATTGCTAGTCACTACCACCATCACCAGATCACTAGCACCAAACGAACACCACTTTTGAACCATTATTAATTATTCATCATCATTATCATACCATTATTTATTAGTTGTCATAATCATCAGTCTATCATCACCATATTGGCACCATCATCACCATACCACCATTGCTGAACCACCATTGGACCTCTAAAACACAATTGAAATTATCATTAGATTATCACCACTCAACTATCACTATCATCATGCTACTATTGTCTGATTGTTGCCATTTTCACTTGATCATCATCACTGAACTACCCTTATTAATGCTAGAGTACTATTAATGCATGGGCATTATTATCTCTCAAAAACACTTTTCAATCTCTAAAGAAAGTCTACCCAACATCTCTCACCCTTAAAATATTGCTTTACTTTATTCAAGGGACAGACAAAGTTTTAACTCACATTCATATAATGGACTAATTGAAAAC